AAGCATATATGCCAAGTGCGTGTTCAGACTTCCCTTTCAATTGTTCAATGCGGTGTACGTGAGTACGAGATGAAATCTACGTAGATATGGTCTAGGGTGTTTTTGCTACTTGCCTGCTTGGGTGACGTGCTGTGGGACAGTTCCTGATGAGGATTTGATCTATTTACTCATAAAGGATACAAATCTGCTGCGTTTCCAATCACGAATTCATTGAATTTCGTCCTTTTCATTGAATCTCAGCCTTGTTCTGAAGTCGCTTGTGTGGCACATATGTTGCTTTGGGCCGCGCATGCCCAATGGAAACTAGGCTCAAAACATCAATTAATCCTTTTAGCCATCGCCAAGCCATGTATGAAGCCTAAGTCCGTTTCATCGGGTAAGTTCTCTTATCTAGGATTCGGTCATAGCTCACCTCACCTAAACTTTAGTGTAGTGTATACTCAACGGATAGGCTATTCTTTTATCCATTCGTCATTTTATAGGGCTAGATTTAGATACCTTTGTGCGCTCCGCCAGTGTACGCCACTTATATCCTTCCGACGATGTTCAGGCTGAACTTCTTCCTAGAAAATCTTAGTTCAAAGAAATGCCTTATACAGGTATGGATTGTTCAAGTTGTGCTTATAATACCTTGTGCATTATAGTTTCTTTGTATTGATTCTATTAATAACTTATGTTCTCAGATCAAATATACAGCTCGTGCTTGTAGCTGTGGTAGGTGCGCTGATATTAACCGAAAGGCATGAGTTATAAACGCTTTGAGTCCATTACTCACAGACGAATTCAGTTGTTATTTTAGACTTAAATCCGAGCAACTAGCTGACCCCGCCGCGGGTGATAGGGAATCATTTTCTGTATGATCGTGACACGCGCGCATCCGACTAATAGTTCTGCCGCACGCCATTATCCGTATGGACAATCATGACATTCAGGCAGTTATCGTGCCCTCCTTCCTGTAATGGTCAAGATCACCGCGCAAAAGCAGAACGGCTGAGGGTTGTTCCATTTCATGACACCTCCAATATCGCCCCCTTATGCTGAAGGAGCATAAACCTTTCATCACGGATCAGACAAGGGAGCTATTGTACCTTTAATAACTGGAAAATCGAACTTTAAAGAGGATAGGGAGATCTCTCACATCTCAAGACCGAAAAATACGCAACGCCACGCCTTGATTTCTTCGACGAGCGCGTTCAACCAGCGCTTTTCGTAGTCGCCTTTCAGCTGGGCGGAACGCAAAACCGCAAACTTAACCTTGAAATATTCCTGGTGTTTCAATATATTCCCAAAGCCTCTAAGACGGTATGACCAAGGTTTTAGAAATGTCCTGGTGAAATGTGATCTGTTAATTCGCCAAGGCTGATGTATATTGGGATCAATCGGACAGCGCCACTCTATTTCGAGGGTAAAAGCTTGAAGGATCACTGTCAGACATTTACGCTGAGCGATGAGCTCACATTGCCCAGCATTGTGAGATAGGCCGAAATTAACGGCTAATATTAATAGGAGTGGAATTAGTAGAGTGCCTCGTTGGAGACTTTGACGTGGCTCTCATCGTACTAGCAGGAGTTGCTTGTTCAATGCCTACTGGCCCGCGGTTTACGGAAAGTTTTTCTGGTTCAATCCACGGCTTTATCTGCGTCTGATCACTTGGGATTCAGTTTTTTCTGACAGCGTAATTTTTTTTTCCATCAAGGTTGAATCCTAGACAAGAATATACGAAGTTGGCTTGTACGGCAAACTTTAAAACTGTACCCTGATGAGGTAGTATGTACTAGTAGGCGAAGCCGCTTGTACACGTGTTAAATATGTTAACTTTTGAAGCAGAAAGATGGCCTTTGGACCATCCGTAGTCCATCTAAGAGTTTGGGGTTGTTCTCGAGGTCAAGGCCTCAACACAAATCTTACCGGCGGAATATCTGCGGCCTAGTTTTCAAGTTACGAGTAGTGTTGCCACGGCTATGTAAGCCGGTCATTTTTGAGAAAATAGTTATAGCACTGTTGCTAAAATTATGCAAATATTTGACAAACCAGAAGTTTATTACAAACGCCGACTCTGGGTTCTCTGCCAAAGTTAGTCGAGAAAAAGATTTCGTATAGACAGCTAGAGCCGAGCCGGTCAATATGTCTGTAGTAGGAATTCACATTATCGACTAAGTTTAGCAGAGAAGTGAACCGTCGGCTTTTGGGAGCTTCCAGCTGGTAAAATGTTTTAGAAATTTTATTTACAACGTTATGACCATTTTCTCAAAAGTACCGGCTTCAAGTTAGTCGTGGCAACACCAGTTACAAGGCACGCGGAAAACATAGCCCTTCGTCCGTAATCAACCCTCGTGGGATAGCTCCACTGCATTGGCCCACTGCTAAAAAGTACTTTGCCTAGCAGTAATCAATATAACTCTCTCATGTTTCTAGGAATGATGACACAGAAGAAAGGCCAGATCTGACATTTGTGGATAGAATCCGAGTCTTCTATTTTTGCGTGCATTTCAATTTTCTTCAGCAACCTTATGCTATTTGTAAATTGGAAGACATGGTTTTCGTAAGACCTTACGGCTCCGGATCCATTCTCAGCGAACTCCAAACCGAAGTTAACCGAACCACAGAAATTGACTTGAAATTTTCACCGCCACACGAAGTTCTCACTATCTTCTAATTCTAGAATCGTTATGTTCACACTGCAGAATATAAGGAAGTAGTTGGAATTCGACGAAACGTCAACTTTGAAAAAAGTTTTCGTTGCGGCGAGAATCATTTTGCTAGAATTTCAGGCGGCGACTTTTGTTACTTGGAGGTCACGTCTATAGCCAGATTCCAATCCAATTCCCAAGCCCACTGGTTCTGTGCTTACTTTCATCGCCGATTCATTCCAATCCATACAATGGGGAGAATATACTTAATACCCTAATTAGAGTCTTTTGGTTGTATATGCTTGACTCTGTATTTCTTCCATTTTTGCTCTTACGTGACTCGGTTTATTAAAATTTTACAGTTCAGCACGGTCTTTTAGCTATTCTCGGGACCTTTCTGAATCTCACGACAAGGATGATCAAAAAAAAAATTGGGTGGAATATTTTTCCCATAGAGACAGAGTTCGTGATTTAATTTTTAGCGAGTCCCTTCGGTAGTATCCCTATTCGCCAAAACTGACGCCCATGAGGGTTTTCGAGATCCGACAGATGACTAGGACAATATTATGAGAGAATCTGGATTCCGCCAAGGTTCCGGCGTCCGCCTTGAGAATGAGTGGAATCCTACCTAGCCCTGATTCAAGTTCCATCAAACTTCAAGTTTATGGGGAAGATCTCTTACAATTTTTTCGTTTCGCAAGACCATTTGGTAGCTCCCATCCCCTACGTTGACACGTGAGTATGACAAGAAGGCAAGAAACATATAAAGGTCCACGGTTAGATGGGAGGACTGCATCCAGTCGTCTCCCCTTCCTATTCCCTCTACACCATCATGGGCCGCAACGTTGAAGAAGAAAGTCCTCTTTTATCTTATGCTACCCTCCGTCCAAAATTTCCCCTTGGCCTGTTCCCAAAGGCATTACAACCATACCTTGAACTTATCCGACTTGAAAAGGTATATTTCGTTGATATCCAGCACATTATACAACGATTTTCATTGTGAATTTAGCCCACTGGGACCATTCTTATGTTTTGGCCATTTGGTAGGTCACCTCCATGACATATACTTTGCTCAATTGTTCATGCATTTTCAATGTAGCATGGGGGTTGACAATGGCTGCGTTTACAACCAATCTTCGACTAAACAATTATGCCATCGAACTTTCAAAATGCATGCTTGGTGCATTCATTTTGCGAAGCTCTGCCTGTACTATCAACGACATCTTTGATCGCAAAATGGATGCGGGTGTAGGTGAATACTGGTCATTTGTTAAGGTTGTTATGCACCAAATGAACTCACCGTAATATCCTAGAACGGACCCGAAATCGACCCATGCCAAGCGGACGCATATCAGTGCCTGCTGCCTCACTCTTTCTGTTTGTGCAGTACTTGATCGGGGTAATATTTTTCTATTTTACCGTCCACGAACTTGCGTGAGTGAAACCCTCTTTTGGCGAAGATTTCTCATGCTAATTGGCATTCTCAGATTTTGGGTCGCACTGTTCCAATTATTGCCACTGTAAGTGCACACATCGAATTGACAGCCGCAGGTATTCAGTTGTTAATCGTAGATTTGCAATTTACCCACTCCTCAAGCGTTGTACACATTGGCCACAAGCTTGGCTAGGGTTTGCTATGAACTTTGGCTTTATTACTGCATGGATTTCCACACCGGGTACCACGGTCAATGGTCCATTGCTTGCTTCATCAATGACTGCTTGTTGGTGGTGAGTGCCTTTTTTGAGTTGATAACGCTGAGTGTTTAACCTATGGTTTCATTAGCTGGACAATGTTGTATGGTACGCTGATTTTTTATAAACACATTGACTCAATTTTAATCCAACCGAAACCAGACACCATTTATGCTTGCCAGGACATCAAAGACGACGTAAAAATGGGCGTACGTTCAACAGCCATACTATTTGGGTCTTGGATTCGACCACTTCTTGTTTTTTGTGGATTGATGTTCGTTACTATGCTCGCAATTGCGGGGTACCTAAACGGTCAGGGCCTGGCGTATTTCGTTATATCTGTCGGCGGAACCGCACTACATCTCGTGTGGCAGTACATGACAGTTGATTTGGAAGTCCCCAAAAGTTGTTGGAGTAAGTTTCTTTATTGAAAATTCCGCCGCCCCTTTTCTCATCTATCGAAAAGGAAACTTTAATCGCAACGGCCAACTTGGATGGATTGTGTGGGGAGGATTAATGGTCGATTATCTTAATAGCCTATGTATCGTCTAATATAGAACACCTTTTAAAAGTAAATGTTATCTTCGTGCGTGTAAAACTTTCTTTGGATGTCAGTCAGGTACTAGATAAGAGTACATGGGTTCTTTGCGCCACAGTACGACAGTGTACGACAAAAAGTGGACACTGTGGGAATTGAACCCACGACCTCACGCAAATCCGCTATGCGAAGCGTGCGCGCTACCCCTGTGCCAAGAGCCCATGGTTACAAAGGGACTAAATAAGGTATTTAACACGTTTCTCACATTAGATAATAAACATTGACCGCTGTGTGGTAAATACGCGCCACCCACGTGACTGTTCATCGCGACGCGTCTGACAAAGTTGAACTTTGTATCTTGGTTCTAACTTCAGACGACATGGACACCAGCGGATTCAGCCAGGTCGGGCGGTATGGTACTATTAGTCTTATGAAGAGAAATGAGGAACATACCGTGGTGACCTCTTTCGGAATCGACACCGAAGAGCTGACTTTTGGACGGGAAACGACGTGCGGGGTAAGGTTGTATTACCCCGATGTCGCTCTTTTGCACTGTAAAGTTGTATTTGAAGAACGAAAGGTAAATATATTTCTTTTATTCATGATTAATAATACCATTAATTATGCACAGGCCTTCCTGGTAGTTTTAGGAGACTCCGGTGTGCTTGTGGATGGATGCAAGGTCTTTCCTCGCACTTCCAACAATCTGTCAACAATCATCCCTTTGGCAAATAACTCTGAGTTTGAGATTCACAGCAAGCGATTTAGGTTTTCTTACCCACCCAAAGAAATTCGTGCTGCCCTTTTCGCTACTCCTGCACGTTAGTCTTCGTTCTTGGTTTATTAGATGATCTTACTAAATACTCTTTAGGTCCGCGAAATCGTGCATTGCGTCTCTCTATGATACATTATGCTCAAGTGTTCTCACCACAACCATCTAAAGATCCTCGAGAAAATCTCAGAATTCTACAGAGTCCACTTCAGAATTCGTTCAAGAGCCCTGTCAAGGCAACACCACAAGAGGAAGATCAAATTATTTTAGTAGAGGGAAGCCACCCCCGAGTAGTTCAAGAAGAGCGTGATCTCGTCATTCTCGAGGATGTTGCACTTCCACCTCCCTCCCCAACTAAGCCAGGGGCGGCAATCGAGCCACCACGGACACCCCCACGCCGCAAATCTCTTGGTGGTAATGCTCTTCATCGTGCCGTCCTCATCAGAAGTGCACAAAGAGCCATTCTCAAGGCCGAGAAGGAGCGGGAAGAGGAGGAAGAAGAAATGGAGGTTTTAGGTGCCGTTGTAAGTGTTGAAGACGAGGAAGAGTACGGAGATCCTGAAAGAGAAGATATTGAAATGGGCTCGCCCACCGAAGAAGATTATCTGGACGAGGCTGAGCAACCTGAGAGAGACAACCAGAAACCTATGTGGAGGAAAAGTCTGGAAAAGATTATGTGGCCATTCGGAGGTTCAGAGGTCTGTATTCTTTATCTGTTTAACTAGCTATTGTCTCAATGTACAAAGCAGGATCCACAAGACACGAACGAAGTAGACGATGGAGGTGATTATGAAGACGATGAAGACAATGATGTTCCCACAACACCTCCACCCATGGATGTAAGTCGTTTAATCATTGTTTATGGACGCATTACAACCTTCTCATCTTTTTTTTGGCCTAGCTTTATTCAACCGGTGCAGATTTTAGAACTGATGAGTTCGAAGAAGATGAAGACGAGACTGAAGTACCCGCGCCTCTTCCGTCGAGATCTAATCTCCAATATACGCCTATCAGACGTACTTTGGGTTCTTTTATGACACCTCAAGCAAAATCTGGGCCTCCACTGCACGCGAATCGTGCTAATGATGCCCAACCAGCTGTCGGAAGATTCTCACTCGGCGGCGGCGAACCTAGGCGAGTCGTGGTACAACAACCATGGAGAGTCAGGGATCTCGTCATTCCCCCTCTTCCTGGTACGCCCTCTAGTTCCACCTTAAGCCCAGAGAGAACGGCCAACTCGTTAGCCATGACTGGTCAAGCTCCTAATCGCCTTGATGATGTGATGGCCTCACCGGGACGGACACGTACGCCCATGCGTACACCAGCAAGACCGACTCTGACGGAAGAAGAACGAAAAGCGATCCAAGAACGCAGAAGGAGCGCCTTGAAGGAAATAGGTCCGTTTTTCCCTGGTGGCGCCCCTGGACTGTCTCCTATGAAACCAAAGTCTTCGAGCCGCTCTTCATCGCCTGTCAAAGCGGGGTCCTCCGGATTATACAACTCTCCAATGAAGGGACAAATCATACACGAGGATGGCGAAATGGAAGACAAAACCACTGTTCCTGAGGACACGAAAGACGAAGAGGATACTAGGAGTTTACTCGACCGTATGAAGGAAACAGTAGATGATATGAGGAGACGGAGGAGCGTCGCTATGGGAATCACCCCAGATGCCCAGGGGCTAGGCCTCCCACGTCCACTATTCGTACCTGTAACAACTCCAAAACGTCCTCTTTTTCAACCAGAATTACACGAAGTAGTGGATTCAGCGGAAGATGAAAACAATGGAGGGAGAGAACAGGAACCATTCAGCCTTCTCCGTCCTGGTACGCGTGATGAAGTGATTTCGCGACTCACCCCAGCTATACTCGAAGTCGAATCATCTGTGGAAGGTCCAATTCCTTTGCCTGTAGTTGTCGTGGAGCCTGTAGAGGGTAGTCCAGAGATACAAGATAGTTCAAAGATACAAGAACAACCTATACAAGCAAGACCGGAACGATCGAGGTTGTTACGTGTCCCTAAATCTATCGACGTCGTAGCAGGCCTTTCGGAGCCGAACGTAGAGGAAGAACAGAAGGAGTCGGTAAGTCTTTCACAACACATTCTTCTGAGCTATCCGAGCTAACGAATTACACACCGTTCAGAATTCTAAACCTAAATCAAAGTCTACAGGTCCTGCTACACGGAGGAGTCGTTCGAGAACACCACAGCCACTGGTCCCTGAGGGGGAAGAAAGAACTGAGGTAGCTGTTGCTACCAGCAGACGTATGCGGAAAACTACGGCTGAACCTGAAGAGCAGCAGCCCGTAGCTATACCTCTCCCGGCCACTGGAAAACGTGGGCGAAAGACGCCTGTAGATGTAGCACTTGAACCGCCAGAACAGAATGTAGAGAAACCAAAGGGGAAGGCGAAGGCATTGCCAGTCAAGCGGGGTCACAAAGCAAATCCGTCAGTTGAAGATAAAGAACAGCATGCAGAGTCGAGTGGTGGCGATCACAGCGCAGAAGAGTCTCGGGAAGCTACAACTACACCAGCTGCTGCGCCTGCGAGACGGGGTCGACCACAAAAGGCAGTCGTCCAAGAATCTTTAGATCACGAGGAATCGACTCCACTAGTGCCAGTCATTACCAAGGCAGATACGAGGAAGAAGACGACGACGCCGAGTGGCAGTAAAACCTCTAGACTCCGAGGAACGCGAACCAAATCAGTAGTAACTAGAGCAGCTGTTCAGATCGACGGTGATGAGGAGGATGAGGATGGGGATGAGGACCCGCTTGATTCGTATAATGCAGTTGAAGACGACGACGAAGATGCTGATCTTCCTGGTCCGCCACCGTCTTCCAGAAACAATAAAACGAAATCGACAAGTCGTAAGAAAGCCGCCACCACAGTTGCTGTGAAGCAGGAACAAGATGACGAGCAGAGTTTGAGTGAAGTCGAAGCGGAGGCACCGCTTGCTACTGCTACTCGAGCTAGTGGTGGCAAAAATGGAGGCAGGGCAGCACCAGCGGCTAGAACGCCTGCAGTTAAAAATGGAGGAAGGAAAACAAGAATTAAAACACCTGCTACTGCTCCTGCGTCTACTACCTTGGTTAACGGCGATAAAGATAAGGAACAAGAGAAGGACAAGGAGAACACACCTCGTTCAATTGGCTTAGCCGGAGACGGTTCCGAAAAATTATCCCCGAGCGCGTCTGGAGATGGAGAAGCCTCGGAGCAGATGCAGACGCAAGTACAAGGGGTAGCCGTGAAAGTGAGAGTTTCAAGGAGTCGAGGTGCCACTACTACTGGTGGGGGACGAGCCCAGGGGACCACTGGGAAAACGAGGACTAGGTCCGCGACGGCGACGAGAAGTGCAAATAAAGTTGTCAAGATTGAAGTTGTTGAAGAAGCAGAAGCAGCGGTCATAGAGCCTGTGCGTGTGAGGAGTACGAGGGCGAGAACGAGAACGAAGACTGGTTGACCGATTTCTTTTTGAAGGAGGGGGAGAGGATAACTGAGAGCAAGAGATGAGGAAAACTTTTGAAATGACTATGCATCGAGCAGTGACTGTTTTATTCGTCTTAATGTATTTGGAACGCCCAGTATCTTCAGGCTACAGCTGCCTCGTTAGCAATAAGCTGGGCTTCGGCATATGGCGTATGGACTAATGTCTATTTAACGTTCCTCGATCTCGGGCTGTCTTTGTCCTTCAGAAAGGCGATTTGACTGAGAAAATGGATAGTCTCAAATCCGGAAATGCAAAGAAACGATAGAGGTTGCGCTACGTCTTACTGAGATCAAAATTAATCTCGAGTGTATATTGGGTACATTCGGGGGTGGTGCAGGTCATTGTTATTCTTTGCCTACCGCCATTTGGTGACTTCAGATCCGCCAGTTGAGCCCCATCGCAGTCTATACTTTCCCGGACAACCCAACTCGAGTATCTACTTTTCCGTCATAGTGCTGAGGACCTTTTTCCATCACAAGGTCGTCTTCCTGTCCCTCTGCTGGTATGGGCACAGAGCGAACTGAAAGGGAATCCCAGCCTGGTGAGATATCGCTGACAATCCACTAGCGACGCCTTGAATACGAATAATGCCTAAGTAGGGATTCGGGAAGTATATACCGGTCTGCGAAGTCTATAGAATAGCTTGTAAGGCTTTTTAAGATCTCCAGTTCGACGAAAATTACTGGGTTGAAAACGAGAAATCCAGAGATTATGGTTGCGTCGTGGTCTAATCCTGACCCCAAAGTCTTTTCCGTGTTAGCTTGTCCTAGTCTTCTGGTGCCGGGCAGGAAATAAATAACAGGTCAATTTAATGAGCCTAGAAATTTGGTGTGAGTGGCTATCTAGCTTCTCATGAAAAAATGTCAACATTACGTTCTGTCTGCTTTCTGGTGTTGTCTACTTTCGTCGAATCAATTGTCGCCGTTGTTGCGGGTAAATTAGCCTCCGAGTCTGTACT